ATTTTCGACTTCATATCACTAATACTCGAAAAATCATCATTGCAATTCCAAGGGCCCTGAGCCAGTCGCGACCTCCGCCCGTTCCGCCCTGAGCCAGCGGCGGAACGCCTGACCTGGTCGCGCCGTCTGCAGAAACGCGGTCAGGCCCGTCATCGATATGCCAAGCTGTTCTACTCAACGTTCGGAAGCCAAAGGTATAGGTTTACCGCACTCTTTGAAGATGATGCAAGGATACGTCACGATATGTGACGCATTCGTACAACCTTAGCAAGGGAAGCGTTTCTGGCGCTCATTGTCTCTGTGGTCTGCATGTTTCTCAAAAGCACCCTTCCGGAACGCGTTCCATCAACGTGCATCCAAACCAAAACGTGTTCCACATGAATAAGTGGTAAGCTGCCCACCGCCCAGCTCAACGCGTCACCCGTACGCGTCGGGCGCTTTGAAGCCACGGGCGCTTTGAAGCCACGGCCGGTATAGTCCCAGCGCGGTCCGCCCAGCCAAACGCCACAAACCCTCCTGGAAGAATCCACCTTCTTGGAAATTCGCTGAACCGGGAATCCGGGAAAGCATCAACAACATTCAAACATCACACCACCAAAGACCCTTTTCCGGTGTCCGCCCTTTTCCGGTGGCCATGTAGCATTTGTATTTATTTGTGTCCCAGGTCTGTCGCTGCTGGTGTCCGCCTTTGTCCGCTGGCGATGCAACATTTCTATTCATTTGTCTCCCAGGTCTGTCACTGGTGGTGTCCGCCCTTTTCCGCTGGCCATGTAGCATTTCTATTCATTTGTCTCCCAGGTCTGTCACTGATGGTGTCTGCCCTTTTCCGTCGGTCATGTAGCATTTCAAATAACTTGTCTCCCAGGTCTGTCGCTGCTGGTGTCCGCCCTTTTCTGGTGGCCATGCAGCATTTCCATTCATGTGTCTCCCAGGTCTGCCACTCCTGCTGTCCGCCCTTTTCCGCTGGCGATGCAACATTTCTATTTGTCAGGTCTGTCGCTGCTGGTGTCCGCCCTTTTCCGTTGCCCATGTAGCAATTCTATTCTTTTGTCTCCCAGGTCTTTCACTGGCGGTGTCTGCCCTTTTCCACTATGTTTTCAATTCATTCCCACACAGTTTACTGTTAGGGGTTCTCCATCTTTCTTGAAATGTGTCCGCCCTTTGTGTCACTGCCGGTGTCCGCCCTTTTCCGCTGGCCATGTAGCATTTCTATTCATTTGTCTCCCAGGTCTGTCACTGTGGTGTCCGCCCTTTTCCGCTCCATGTAGCATTTCTATTCATTTGTCTCAGGTCTGTCACTGATGGTGTCCGCCCTTTTCCGTTGGTCATATAGCATTTCAAAGCACTTGTCTCCCAGGTCTGTCGCTGCTGATGTCCGCCCTTTTCCGTTGGCCATGCAGCATTTCCATTCAATGTGTCTCCCAGGTCTGTCGCTGCTGGTGTCCGCCCTTTTCCGTTGGCCAAGTAGCAATTCTATTCATTTGTCTCCCCTGTTATATAGGGGTTCTCCATTCTTTCTTAAGATGGGTCCGCCCTTTGTGTCACTGCTGGTGTCCGCCCTTTTCCGCTGGCCATGTAGCATTTCTACGCATTTGTTCCTGCTGGTGTCTGCCAGGCGATGCAACATTTCTATTCATTTGTCTCCCAGGTCTGTCACTGGTATTTCTATTCATTTGTCTTCCAGGTCTCTGGTGGTGCCTGCCCTTTTCCGCTGGCGATGTAGCATGTCCATTCATAGCCTGTCACTGCTGCTGTCCGCCCTTTTCCCTTGGCCATGTAGCATTTCTATGCATTTGTCTCCCAAATCTGTCGCTGGTGTCCGCTGTCAGTGGTGGTGTCCGCCCTTTTTCCGCTGGCCATGTAGCATTTCTATTCATTTGTCTCCGAGGTGTGTTGCTGCTGGTGTCCGCCCTTTTCCGTTGTCCATGTAGCATGTCTATTCATTTGTCTCCCAGGTCTGTCACTGCTGGTGCAGCATTTCTACTCATTTGTCTCTCAGTTGATTTCTGCATTTCCCCCAATAGGTTACTGTTACGGGGTCGTAAATGCTTTCTAAGAGTGTCCGCCTTGCTGCCGGACAGAGAGTCCGCCTTCCTTGGTCTCCCTTCCTGTTGGTCACTGTGCCCCCCTTCTTGTTGGTCACTGTGTCCGCCTTGTCTCCCTTCTGTTTCCTTTTGTCTCCCTTCTTGTCTCCCTTGTGTCCGCCTTGTCTCCCTTCATTCTTTATGTGTTTCCTTTTGTCTCCCTTCTTGTGGGTCATTATGTCCGTCTTGTCTCCATTCTGTTTCCTTTTGTTTCCCTTCTTGACTCCCTTCTTGTTGATCATTGTGTCCGTTCCCCTCTTGTTGGTCATTGTGTCCGCCTCGGCCCTTCTGTCTTCCTTTGTCTCCGGTCTTGTCTCCCTTCTTGTGGGTCACTGTGTCCGCCTTGTCTTCCTTGTGTTTCCTTTTGTCTCCATTCTTGTTTCCTTTTTGGTTGGTCATTGTGTCCGCCTTGTCTTTGTCTGCCTTCTTGTCTCCCTTCATTGTGTCCGCTTTGTCTCCGGTCTTGTCTCCCTTCTGTTTCCTTTTGTCTCCCTCCTTGTTGGTCATTGTGTCCGCCTTGTCTTCCTTCGGGTTTCTTTTTCCCCCAAACAGTTTACTGTTAGGGGTTCTCAATTCTTTCTTAAAATGTGTCCGCCCTTTGTGTCACTGCTGGTGTCCGCCCTTTTGCGCTGGCCATGTAGCATTTCTAGTCACTTGTCTGCCAGGCCTGTCACTGCTGCCGTCTGCCCTTTTCCGCTGGCGATGTAGCATTTCTATTCATTTGTCTCCGAGGTCTGGGCCATGTAGCATTTCTATTCATTTGTCTCCCAGGTCTGTCACTGGTGGTGTCCGGCCATGTAGCGTTTCTATTCATTTGTCTCCCAGGTCTGTCGCTGCTGGTGTCCGCCCTTTTCCGTTCGTCAGGTGATTTCTGCACTTCCCCAAACAGTTACTGTTAGGGGTTCTCAAGGCTTTCTAGGACTTCTTGTTGGTCACTGTGTCCGTCTTGTCTCGCTTCTGTTTGCTTTTGTCTCCCTTCTTGTCCCCCTTCTTGTTGGTCATTGTGTCCGCCTTGTCTCCCTGTGTCTCCGGTCTTCTCCCCCTTCTTGTGGGTCATTGTGTCCGCATTGTCTCCCTTCTTGTTGGTCATTGTGTCCGTCTTGTCTCCCCTTTTTCCTTTTGTCTGCGTTCTTGTCTCCCTTCATTGTGTCCGCCTTGTTTCCCTTCTGCCTCCGGTCTTGTCCCCCTTCTTGTTGGTCACTGTGTCCGTCTTGTCTCCCTTCTGTTTCCTTTTGTTTCCCTTCTTGTCTCCCTTCTTGTTGATGTCTCAACAAGTGGACTTGGGAATGCTTCGCTGCTGTCCCACCTGTTTGGGCTCTACGGTGGTGTAATTTTTGAATCGAAACACTTTGCAACTAGAGTTTACATGAGTTTACGACGGAAGCGTCTCTTTGTAAATCCAAGAGCTGGGAGACAAATATTGTAAAGGTTTGCAAGGCAAAGGCAGACACAGCAGCCCAAAGCTTGGACACAGCAGTCCAAAGCTGGGAGACAAAGCAACAGATTATAGATTGCAAGGCAGAGGCGGAGACAGCAGCGAGCTGGGAGACACAGGAGACACATGAAAAGGATTGGAAGGCAGAGGCAGACACAGCAGCATTAAGGTGGGAGACAAATGTTCAGGATTGCAAGCGAGAGGAGGAGACAGCTGGGAGACAAATGTAAAGGATTTGGACACAACAGCACAGAGCTGGAGACAAATGAAAAGGAGGCGGACACAGCAGCCCAAAGCTGGGAAATGTAAAGGATCGCAAAGCAGAGGTGGACACAGCAGCCCAGAGCTGGGAGACAAATGTAAAGGATTGCAAGGCAAAGGCGGACACGACAGTCTAGAGCTGGAAGACAAATGTATAAAATTGCAAGCGGACACAGCAGCCCACACAAGGCGGACACACCTAAAAGCATTGAGAACCCCAACAGTAAACTGTTTGGGGAACTATGCCCCAAAAGGGGATGGACATATAAGGAATATACTGTAAATAGAACTAAGCAAAACCGCGTATGATCAAATCTCCGTGCCTCTGCAGAACCGGCCTGGCTGGGTGATTCACCCTCCAGCAAGCACAATCATATGCAAGGAGGCTCTACTAGGAGGGCAGGGCAAAACCTGGCCTCGCCTACATCTGTACAATCCATGCTTGGCGCAGCATTGGTCTGGGACAAAGGACATGCCGCAGCCAAAACCCCCTTTGCTGTGACTTCTACCGGGCTTAAGGTATGTATCTTTTTAACGGGATGCTTGACATGTTTTGTAACAAGACTCATTGGTTTGTTATTCGACATGCCTCAATCTCACTCAAACTCCAGCAACCTACAGTAAGTCTTCTAGCAAGCAGGGAGACATGTCAACTTGACACACGCTTGTGCAAGTTAATTACTGCAAAAGCTGCAAAGCTTGACGCTTTCTCTGGTCATCTCCCTTTCATGCCTACCTCTCAAAGCTTGTGATTCTGGCAGCCCTGAAACATGGAACCTTGAATTTAAGACATTTATGACTCATGACTCTGACCATGACCAGGAAGCATGGATAGATTTAACAAATGCAATGTCCGAGCATGAATCAAAATGGGCGCCTGGTCAAAACACCAGCGATTCTATAGACATCCAGATTTTGGAGGAGGGCATACGCCTCACGTTGGACAGTCCTTGATTCTGGTACATGCTGCCGGGAATTCGGGTCTTTCATCCTGACAAAAGAAACCTCGCCGCTTGTGCAGGTGGACATCAGCTACGCCATGCTACGCCTCATCCGCTCGCAAATGGTTCCAACATGTTCCAACTTTTGTCATGGGTTTGAACATGTTTGAACCCACTGCCGGCATAGGTGAAGATCCTCCGTCACTTGTGGTCTCTTCTGTTCAGGATTTTTGCTGACCAGGGTGCCTGACGGACGCCTTGCCTGCATCCTCAGCATTCTTATCCAGACACCGCTGAGCAATTCGCTCCCTGCCCAATGGCTGCAAGCATGGGGCTCAGCCGGGCAGCGTCTGGTAAAGACTGGAGCCTTAGTCAAGCGGCATCCACTTGGATGAAAAAGACTTGCCAAGTGGTTGTTACAACCCTGTGCTCAGGAGCGTGAAGTTGCGCAACCCATTTTCTAGATGTTTGGACAACTTGTCGCCTACAAAAGAACAACCCTGCAAGAAACAACCTGTACAATTCTGCAATCTAACTTAGGCACCCAATTCCAGTAACAATGGATGACGGTGGTTCCTAAAGATGTTTTTCCAAAATTGCGATTACAGTGCTGCACCTTTAAACTTTAAACCGGCTCCGCATTACAGGTCATGGGCACGCACCCCAAATCTAAAAAACATGGCACATGCTCAAGTTGGACTGCCAACATGGTAAACAAACAACACGCAACGCATGCAGGACACGCATGGTTTGATCTGAGCGCACAGAAAGTCACCAAATCCATGCTGTACAGTAGAGACTCAGCTGTTTCAAGTGATGACAGACCTCAAAAGGAGTTGAACACACAGCCAAACCCACTCTGCAAACACCTCGCTCATTTCTATATTGAGCTTACCGATAGGTGACCACGAACTTGGGAGCCGCCCTCCCAGCACCTACTTCGCTCGTGGTGCTACAGTTTGGAAGTGTTGGCTGAGGGCTTTAGTATCCAGAGTTTGGGAGAGTGTTTGCCGCACTGCAGAATTACCGGTTTTTCAAGGAGCACAACATCACATTGAACGAATGTTTCTCTGCAGTAAGAACATCCAGCACGCCTGTTAATAAGCCCACGTACCTGTCATTTGTCTACGATATGACACAAGTGGCCCTCATGGGTCAAGCCACCCCATGTTGTAGTACAGGCGGATGTTCTTAGCGGCTATATCGGGTGGGTGCTTCATCTGCAAGATGCGTGTCGGGCGGATAGTGAGACTCTCCAGTTTCTCAGGTCTTTACCGCCATTCATCGGACTTTTGAAACGTTTCTGGAGCACACATGGGGAAAAAAGGTAGCACAAGTATACACAAGTATGATGTAGGAATACATAAACAAATCACCACGAAAATGATGTCTTGGTGCTCTATGATATGTTATTTGCACAAGCTGTGCAAATGCAAGCAATATTGACAAAGCACGTGTCCAAAACACACTCCAAGTCCCAAGAGTGAAAACTACAATAAGTGGCTGGCAGCAAGCCATACATGACACAAGATTTAAATCACTGCCCAAAGCATCCCATAGCTGAAGCCAGCATTCCCAAATATGGATGAACAAAGTATTCCAACTACCCCATGACCCTCAAAAACCAAGAAGCTCAATGGAAAACACATCATGTTCCATGAGGAGCTCTTCCACCTCATACCTCCAGTCGCGCGAACAGGCGACAGTGGATTCTTACCAGGCAACTATACATATAGTATACTTGAAACTTACACCAAAAAAACAACACTGCCGTCCAAATAAAGAGAACCAGCACATTTCAGAACCACAGCCTTTCTGCGGCTTGCTTGTGCTTATAAATGCAATACAGTATATACACACCTTTTAATTGTCCTGGTATACACTGATACACTTGTATGATCCGTGCAGCAACCCGGAGAACAACATGCTGAGGACCCGGTCGTCCAGTACAATTTTAGGAGGGAGAACCCTTGACCCTGCACAATCTCTGCACCATTGAGGGGGCTTGCTGGGTGAAGATATTGAAAACTGACAGCTGAAGGTTCTACCCAGGGCTACCACATCACACGATATTTTACACAATCCTGTCATGCACAAAAGGCAAAGCAACAAGCTGCGACCGCAGCTTGGCTTTGAGAGGGTCAACCTCTGCGCCGGTTGTCACCAGCATTTTTGTGCCGGTTGTCACCTAGGTGACGGGTGTGGCACGGGTGTGGCCATATATTGGATGAGTCTAGCACGTGATCAGCTGCCCTAATCGACTTCAATCGATCAGCTGGCCTCAAGAGTTCCTCCACATTCTCCGGCAGAAGGAGCCATCCATCCTCCACTTCCAGAATTTCCTCGTCCAAGACCCGGCCAATATTCACCACGTGCCTCACATATGGTGTTGAAGGAAAAACGTGCTGAACATCGAACTCCCAGGTGTGCGCCCCACTCTCCTGTCACCCTGTTTGCTGCACCCAGTCTGACTCCGTCTCCCCTTTGAGTTTGGGCTGTTTGATCTGTTGGGTTCCCCTGTAGAAGCCAAGCTAGGCCCATGAGATATGAGTCTGACTGTAAAATATATGGGCCTTCAATACTAGCGAAACTGAGCCTCCAAGGGCCCAAGGCTAGCAAATACAGTCTTAAGTTGGACCCTGCGCTTGCTTCCTCACATGATACGACAAGGCACGGGGCGGGTGACGCATCGGCTATCGGAAGAGCCTGGCATCGCAACAAGGAAGGATGGCATCGCATCACCGTCGCCGACGGATTGAAAGGATTCAAAGGACTTCTTGTGAGGACACACTCATCCATGACCTCACATGACCTCTTGTGAACAAAGTCTGAATCAAATCCCTTCACATGACCTCTTCGAGACCTCTCCCCATGTTGGTCGCCGAACCCGGTCTGACCGGGCCAGACCGACTAGAGTCGCTTTCATCGCTGCTCGACCAAGAAAGCACCAAAGGAAGGTACTTGAGTGGGAAGTTCCTCTAAAAATCAGACCTCACCTGAAGCTCAATTTCGTGCGGCACTTCTTGTCTTCGACCAAGTAGTTGTGGACATAAGGAAAGCACTACCTGGCTGGCAAAATGGAGAAAAACTCACCATCACAAGCAACATTTGTCATTTGCTTCAAGATTCTTTGTTTGCCTTGTACCTTCTGTTGCATCTTTGGTTTTGTGGTGACCTCGTCAAAAACACCACGTTCATTTAAGGGGCGGCTCCAGATTTTAGGCCATCACCCGCAGCCCTGATTGAGAAAATGAATATGATCCACCCCCTTCCAGCTCTTGCTCTTCTCTGCCTCCGACGCGCTGTAGGCAAAGCGACCGATGGCACGTGGGGTCCAGCGGCTGAAGCCACGGCGCGCGGCAACGGCGCGTTTGGAGAAGATCAAAGCTCTCCGAGCCCTCTGAAGAAAAGCCTTGCGGCGGGATAGGAGGATGGGAGGTCAGAAGTAAATCCCATAGGAGGATGGTGTCAAGATTGCTTTCAGATTGCTTTCAGCATCGATGGCTGGCATAAAAGGGAACAACATGTTATATAAATAATGCATAAATATATATATATATACATCATAATGGTTAATGCTAAATAGGATGCGGACAAACTCCATGCCAGGGCCCAAGCCCAGATTTGCCTGACGCCGCGTGATAGTCACCGGGATCAGTGGCCAAGCACAGGACACACTAGAGAGCTGGCAAAGATCTGGCATGGAGATATCTGGGGAGACACTTTCTGGGCCGTTGAACCATCAGCTTGTTCGGGCTCTTGATTTCCAATTATCTGGTGACGCAGCACAGTGGAAGGTGCAATCCTGGTTTCTCGCCAAGAGACTGTGGGGAAACTTGGAGCCAACTGTTCTGCACTCGCAGCCTCAAGGGACGCAAAGGCTTGCTCAGTTAAACCTCCTTTTTCCTTTACAATAATGATACTTCCCACCTAGCTTTACCCCCAGGATGGCAAGGAAAATTTTGTCTAGGACCAGATGCCCCCCTGAGACATTTGGAAAACATCTGAAAAAAGGCAACGACCTTCCGAACTTACTTGTGTGTTGCTGTGTTCGTTGACTATCTGTTCATATCTGTTCCATAGATTGCGCTCTGGTCGTGCCCACGCTCAATTCATTTTGACTCAAGAGGTGGGCCCCATCCAACTTTTGTCGACCGATCATCGACCCAGCGGGCAGTGTGTCAAAGACATGTTTTTCACGCAAAGGGCAACATGCGACTGGAACATGGGCAAGAGACTATATAGTCTTGGGCGACCACTCAGATAGATCCTTGTGAGGTCCTTGTTTTTGGAACCAATGACAAATGGTCATGGCCAGTCTGTCTGTCCAAACAAATTCCTCTACAAGCAGGGGCTTTCCCACCAAACTACGTGGCTGGTACGGTAAAGCTCTTGAACATGGCTGTGGCCTACCACAACGTTGTGGCCTGCTCCAGCTGCCCAAGAGCCAGCCCACATCCTGGCCAGTCTATGGGACCAGTCCTTTAGGGCTCGACTGTGACATCAAGTGTTAGATTTGGCTTGTGAATTGGTGTTAAAACTCCCACTCCCACAGTATGTCTACCGACCCAATCCTGCACCGCTATGCCACTGAGGCTCCGCAGGTCTAGATTTCAGGTTGGTTATCTCCGTGGCGCTGCACTTTACCCAACCATATCAACATAGCTGACATAGCCGAAACTAAGATAAATAAGTACCTAAGCCTAAGCCTAAGCCTAGCATAGAGTCTATGGCATAGAGGTGTCAAGCAGGACAACGTTGGGATTGTAGTAAGCTCCATGCGGCAAATGTCCCATCTACGGCTGTGGACCGTGGCTCTATGAGTCGCCTGCCGTGGCCAGGCCCAAAGCGCCAGCACGGCAGCGCCACAAATCCCTCCGGACGTAGCCCAGGAGCAAGTCCTCGTCGATCTGAAGCCATCGAAGGAAACCGGACCAGCGCGGGAGGTGTGTTACCTTTGAACCATGTTGAATCTCTTGTTCAAGACAGGCTTGGTCAAGCAACCGGTACCATCAAGTTTCGCCCAGATTAATAAGAATATATATATATATACGGTCATCATATATATATATATATATAGTGGTGGACTACCACTTAGAATTTCTTAAATTTCAAGGGATGCACTTAGAATTAGGATTCAACTCTGCAGATAGAATGCAATGGACGCTTTTTAGTAGTAAGAATTGTTATTTGTTCGAGGATTACGCACTTCGAACTAAGAATTGTGCCGTTAGAAATAACAATCCATTCATCCAACATACATTCAACCCATGCATTTTACCAGCAAAAAACTACCAAAAAACGATGCCTGTCCTTTCCTTATCTTTACACTCTGCCCTTCTTCCCTCAAGCACCGCAAGCTGCGAGTCATTGGACGCTCTCATGTCTGGCAAACTCATGCAATCTTGCAATAACCTGGCCATTTCAATTCTTTAATTATATGTGGGCATTTTAATTCTATCTGTGTGTTCTTTTGCTTCAGAAAATTCAAACTACTTTTCCAGGTTTCTAGGAATGTCCTAGGTTACTAACTGTTTTTTTCCCCACTAAAAATTCTAACTGCTAGCTGCTAGTAGTCCGCTACTATATTAATATATACTCAGGTAACATCACGAAACACAAATGGCACCTCAGCCTCAGACTACAGAGATTGAACATGAATCATGGAAGAAGTCCACTGATACCACTGACCAGACACAAGGTGGTTCATAGAGGCTCCTTCTGAAAGGATCATAGATAGTCACCCCATTGCGGATGTCTTGGTGTAAACAACCCGATTTCGCCGATAATGCTTTGAAACAACCCGCTGATGACACAAAGGTCGCACATGGTGGCACCCCGTCCTGCCCAGATCGGAGGACCTCAGGGTTCCATGATGTCCTCTTCCCGGAGAGTGCGACGCATAAATGGTTCATCGCAAAAGGGTGTTGATGAGGTTCCTCTTTGGTATCAAGTTGTTCTGCAATCAAGTCACCTCCTTTGCATCCAACCCTGATGGCCCATGTCAGGGGCATGTCGGCATGTTTCTGACAGTATTGACAGTTCTGTTCATGCTCGCCGCATCCCGACGCATTTGTGTCAACTGATTCTGGGGTCCCCCGTCTTGGGACCAAAACCCAACTCACCACAATTAATTACTATGGACCGTGATCCACTATCAACGTTTGAATGCTCGACACTGGACACGCCTGAACATGAAAAACTTGGTTAGATAGCATGATGTAGCCTGTCACATGTCAACAGATTTATGCTGAACTCCGAACTCCTTTACTAACTCCGCGCCCCAAATGGATCTACAATCGCACCTTCACCGGATCGCCCGCGATCGCCCTTCACCGGCTAGGGCCTTGACACAAATGCTTGGCGCCACCGCGAGAGCCGGCAAAGGCGGTGTGAGTGGCACTACAGCTGCCGTCACTACTAGGACTGTGGAGACATGGCCCATGCCAGAGATGACTTGCCTCAGAGACGGAGTGCAAGCATTCCAGGAACAAAAAGCAGCGCCACGAACCCGAATGCACACACGTATGCGATGAAACAAACCCCCAAACCTCCTGGACAATCTTGTGGGAGACTCTTGCAGAACACTCTTGTGGGACACTCTGGTAGGGCTGTTTTGTCGGACACTCTTGTAGGACACTCTTTTAGGACATGACAATGATGGTTTGACATTCGACGTGCCAACCTGATTTGAGTGGCACAGCGACAACCACATGCACCAAACATCGCAACCTCACGATTCAACTAGCTGCCTCCAACATCTGCAACACGTACAAAGCACCGTGCCTGCCACAAAAAGTGATTATATGTGTGATCATTTGACTACGCCGCACCTTGACATTTCCCATACGTTTGGAGTGCTTTCGACATATGAAATCCCTCAAAGTCGCCACTTTACCCGAGACTTGTCACGAAAACGCAGCTTCGAGGCAAGCGTTGCAAGAGCAAATCCCAATGGCAAAGCGACATTAGATACCTCCACACGACCACCCTGAGAACGCCCAAGCAAAGGGCAACACTGCATCTGCGCAGTAAAATCATCCTTCACGCTTCGCCATGTTACAGTACCCTTCTGCACTACTTCGCATGAATTCACGCTTCATGCTTGCATCCAGGACCTCGGACCTCGTCCCAAGCTTCCCCCCGTCCACACAGGGAACCGTGGCCAACAACACTCGAACGGTCGGTTCGACCTCCAGACCCCCAATTTGCATACCTTCGCTATGCCAATCGAGATGAAACACCAGATGTATCCATGTGTACCACCAAAAAAACAAAGAAACAACAACAACAGCAACAACAAAAGAATTGAAGAACGTCATGGAGTGCCGTTTGGAACCAAAAACACCGAGGTCCCGTCAGGACCGTCAATTTGATGGTCGAATCAAATGGACCCCACACCGCCAAACCAACCGTCAAGGGCTTGAGACGTCGTTCAGGCCAGGCCTGGAGCGTGCATTTCAGGGTGTAAACTTGTTCCATCCCTGTCATCATGTTCAGCTCTACTGTGCTTGTATTTCAGCACTTCACTTTGACCTGCACCTCTATAGCCTATAATTGGGATGCTTATGGGTGATGCCTAGGGCCTAGGGTCTTTCAATGCCAGCCGGACATTGGCATGCATCTGGAACTCAGGCTCCATTGGCTGTAATGCGATTTGTGCTCAAACTTGAGGGAATGATGTCGATGACGGTCAGTTTGATCATTTGCCTGTCCTTCCTTGTTCTTGTCCACACTGCTTCCATCCCCCTTCCGTAAAGACATGTCGCTCCAGACAACGCTGCAACAGCTTCTGAGCTCGTCGGATGACTTGACACAAAATCGGTTGGGCGAACCATGGCGAACCAACCATATAAGCGACTATCATGATGGGCGCGCCCCACAAACCGGCAGGAGGGCTCCGGCTTTGTGAAGCATGCCATCGATTTCTGGAGGGAGATCCTCATGTTTTTTCAGCCATGGTCTTTATTTCAGCTCGTTTTGGTTTCGTGCCCGGCGTCTTCACCCAGTTGCTCGCAGCGTCTCTCCAGTGTGCGAATCACCCTGGCACCGCCCAGTCAGCCCAGTCAGCCCAACAGGCAACGGGTTGGGGAACCGTTCGTTTGGTTTTGGCTGTTGGATTGGTCGGAAATCCGACCATCTGGGGAGATCCGCCTTCAAGGGCTGTTGAGTTGTGTTACATTTGTTGAACTCACCCCGAAAACCAGCCAGCAGATTCGACGGATTCCTTTCGATCATCCCGAACTCCGGGCTTCTGATGGTTTTGGGATGTATAGGGTGTGCCACCGCCGCACACCGATTCCCGTCAAAGCAGGAAAAGAGGATCGGACACAATGAATTTGAAACAACATGCAACCACAAATTCCAATCAACATCCAAAGGATCTGTTCATTGGCCGCTTCATAACCAGGACTATGCCGTCACAATCTAAAGGACATGCCGCATCGTCTCAAGCCACATCCACCTTTAGCACATCCTTGGAGAAGTTTCTGGCCGTAAGTGGTGAACTCTCAAAAAGGACAATTGATTCGGAATTGATGGGATCATTCGGAATTGATGGGATCATTTGGAATTGATGGGATCATGTTGAGAAGCTGCTTTCTCCAGACTTGAGAGCGCTCTGATCCTGCAAATCCTTGATCCCAGGTGGCTTTGCCCAAGCCAAACAGGAGACTGTGCAGGAGCCTGCCCATTCTGGCACATAGCAAAACTGTCCAAATTGGACGGGCCTATACTACCATACAGGTCTTCAATCTAAACCCTGCATATGTTACCTTCATGCTTCCTCAGCTTGCTGCTGCACTGCTATGAATACAATTTATGATGTTTGAATTTGACCCGTTGTTCATTCACAAGTTGCCGGTCCACCACCAAAATCACCAACATGTCACCAGTTCGGCCCATCGAAACCACCATCAAGAGGGTCTTTGGTTTCTTTTCCTCCTAAGAACCGGCCCATCTCGTCCCCCGTCTCCGACCTCTTTCCGCACCTGAAGGGCCGGCCGTCGGCATCGTAGGCAGGGGAAGGTCAAGCCACCCCATGGAAGGTCCCGGGGCTCGCGTGCCTCGGCTGGGTTTTTTCCGCCCAGGGCCTCTCGGCCTCTCGAAGCCGTGTCACGCCAGAATGGGTTGGATCCGAGGTGTGCGGCGTGGTGTGGTGGGTCACAGATGGAGCACATTGGCGTCACCAGGTGGGCTGACTCTGACGGGGGCACCCCGCCGTGCACGACTCGTCGCGACGCTTCGCAAGTCAGAGGTAAGGTGGGCTGACTCAAATTGCACATGAGACTTCGTGATAGTTCTCAAACGTTCCCTGGAATACCTGGAACATTGAGTTCTTTTGACAGAGCTATAGCTTTTGACCGTGCTGATGAGGGTGTCTGTCTGGAGCAGCCACAAAAAAATCCTTTCCAACTCCAAGGATTTCAAAAAGGGTCAAGCATGGTCAAAACATGAGGGGGGAAGTAAGTTATAGTTATAATACATTGCATCACTGGCATTTGTGGGAAGACCATGTTTTCGTTTCATGGCCGCTGGGCCCAGGAACTCGAAGTTGACCGCTGAGGAGACCCCAGTGAACAAAAGCTTTATCTTCACATCTAAGGTCAGTCAGGGAGCAATGTCAGCTACAATCTTCCGGCCGCAGTGAGGGCAAGAGCACCGCAAGGGCATCCCCAGCAAATGGCTCAAGCATCACTGGAGACCCGCCAGCGACTCTTCGACCTTGTTTAAGTGGTTAAGTGGCTACTCATACAACATTAGTCTGTCCAAATTGATTGTTGTGATAGGGCACTGCCCTTGGATTTGTAGCTTCATATATGCTTCAGCCAAACTTTGCGGACATATTAGCAGCTACCAATACTGGCAACGATTGCTGTATCAACTGGAACACATATAATTGCAAACATAGGGCAAAGTGGATGCACCGCCGATTCTGCCTCATTTCAAACCACTGCTGGATGAATCGAGCAAACGACTAAACCAAAGTGCAACCACCCTGGCAAAGGCCAGTTTAAAAGTCGATGATGTTCCAGCTGGCATCATATTGTGTAAAAAACTATTGTGTGGTGTGTGTGTGTGTGTAAACATCGAAGAGCAAACGAGTATGGTTCGTGGTCATTCAAGTGCATTCACGAGTGTAAATGCCAGGTTGCGCGCATGTTGCTTTGTGCTTTCTCTCCCTCACAGGTTGCTAAGCTCAATTCATCCCTTGAGAGGGGGAACAGTTGGGAAACCTGCAGCCATGAGCCCCGCACCATGCGCGCAAACCAATGAAGTGAGGCAAAACACCTTGTGCCACGTGCGCGATGGCAAAAGGAGAGTCTGGCTGATAAAAGAGTGCAAATGGCAGGATAATATACGGTATATCATAGATATATATATATATATATGTATATATTATATAACTATACTGTATATATATATCATATATGCCGTATGCATATACTATTCACCCTACATATCTATAAATTGTCAGCAGTTTATCAGTTTATTGTCGATCCTTTGGATGGCGATCCATGCAGCCACTTCTTTGAGCCCCAAGTGACATCTATCAGCTCAGCTCTTTTCCAAACGAGGAAAATAACAACAAATAACGTCTTTGCCCAACTTCAACGTCCGTTTGATGGTTTCTTCGCCCCAGAAACATCGTGGTTGCCTTCGGATGTCCAGAACCCGAAAGGGGCGGAGCAAACAGAGTGCACCCAAATCTCTGCAGAACAAATCACATCCAAAGGAACAGTAATTCCAAAAATGATATACTACATCCAGATTACCAGCAAAAAACGTAGCAATGGATGATGATGGTTTAGGTTTCAGGCATTTCCGCGATACACACCTGTTACTGGTCTTGGCATAACACCCTAGTTCAAAACCCTGACACTCCACTTGCTTACTTTGGGACATATTCTAGTCCCATCAATTGTCTCCTCTGTCGAAGGACGTTGACCAAACTTCCCGGCTCTGTGTAGAGATACGGCAAAACCAGGGCTACCTCGACGAGATTTCCCCCTAATCAAAGAGCTTCACGGGGGTATTCCTGGAAGCCCCCTGACTGGGTTCTAGTATGTTGGTGTTTTATTACCATGGACACTCCATGTTAAACAAGTAACAACTATGCCTACACTGACAACTGAAACCGTTCCAATGTATGCATATATTCCATAGATTCCGTGTCTGAGCTGGATGATTAGAAAACTATTCACGGCAATGGAAGATTGACAGTGTCAAACCTCTGATCCAAAAAACCGACCAGGTGCCACCAGTGACCTGCGGATACCTGAATTCCTGAGCGGTTCTGAGGTGCCGAGCATTCGATTCAAGCCTCAGCATAATAGACCGGTCATGTTTTCTGAGTCAACTATAGTCAGCTGGTGTTTTGACACAAGTCGAGCGTAAAAAACACGAGACGTCACGAAACAGTCTCGGCTTGGAAACATTATTGATCATGATTGAAACTTCTTTACATAGTTGATCAACAGTGTTACTTGATCCAGTCCCGCCGTCCACGCTCCCAACAATGGCACCTGTGCTTTTCAGTGCTACTCTGGCGAATCCGGCGACATCTCTTCACTTCCAGCACTCTTGGGGGAAGCCGCTGCGCGGCGCGCCTCCGTGGGGTTCGGCCGGGTCCGAAGATCACAGTCGAACAGTCAAAATGCGCTGACCGGTAAGTCTCGTTTACAAACAGTCCTCGCGGTATATGGTGATGTAATAGTGATAGTGATAATGCTATAATTATATGCCTGAAAAAACACACAAACATGTAATCAAATCCTCCCTGGGCTTTAAAAACCTGATTCTCACAATGTTGCCTGAACCTGGTCCATGCGATTATTTTTTTATGTTTGCGCGACACAACTGTAAACGGAAAACGCAGCAAAGATCTGCACAGGGAGGATGCAATTTCATTGGACCCCCCGGGCGATGGAACAACTCCATCCTAAAGTTGAGGCTGTTGCCTGCAGGTACCTCTGGAAAAAGACTGGAGGCCGTTTCCTGCTGGTGCCTCTCGAAAATATTCCGAAGGTCTGCGCAATATGTGGTTCCTTGCTTGGCAAACAAACTACTCTCCGGCTTGGCCGGGTGGACATAAACGTCAGTCAGCTAAGCTGAAGCCTTCCGTCCAAGATTTGGCTAAATATTGGATCATTTCATTGAGGTCAATCGTGCCGTCTCCATTGGCATCAATGACGTGGAACACCTCCTGAATACGATCGCCTGGGAAGGGTTTCACTTTCAACCGACGTTGTCCGACAGTCCTTGTCATGATCGACGAAAATGGACGAAAATTGCAACGCGCAATGCAAACACGCACTTGAAGTGGGTGCCTTACGGTTCAACTGAGATCGACATCAAGTCAACGCATGAACCGACGGCTGCAGCCCAAGGGCTGGGGACGGTGCCTGGAGCACACTGCTCAAAAGCATGCCTTGACTGCGAGTCTGCGCGAACGCGTGCGCATGGGGGACGTGCATGGCTTGACTCCCCAGGGGGCGCGGTCAAATGCGGGGGTTGACCTGAATCGCCAAGTGACACATTCCAAGGACAAAAGCGGACCTTTGTATTCAAGTTGATCCTTTGTAACCACGAACCGGACATCCCTACTTGCGCTCTAGTTACTTGCGCAAGTATAGCTCTCCCTCCGATCCCACCGGTCTCTGAGCCTAACCGAAGCGGGTCGCCAGCCGTCGCAAGCGCCGATCTCTGGCCCTCCACCCCGCTCCACCCTTCCGTGACAAACTCAAGGTACAAGAGTTCTGGCAAGTCAAGGCTTCCATTCCTTAGACCACAATGAGGAAGGAGCGGCACCGTGTGCACGGTAGAATGACAAAGCTTTCTAGCATCTGCCGGTACAGGAGAAGTCTGGTGCGTGAGGGAAGCTGGGGCCAAACGTCTCTAGACCGAAATAATATATATCCCAAACACTCCACGGGACTGGAACATTTATCTACATACAGTGATACCTTTTCAACCACCCGCAATGTAGGTAAACATGCCATACATGGAGTGTCAAAATATCTAAGTGATGGTTAGCAAAATCGGACTGATACATATGTTGCATATCTACGAGATATGCCTCCTTGATGTTGAAAGGCATTGTGTTGCACATCCCTGGGTGTTCATTCATCATGCCTGACAGCAACCGACGATCACGGTCATAATAGTCAGAAGCCACAACAACCCCACGGTGCATCAAACCTGGTCTTGAAGCAGCTCGACCTGATGCACGCTCCCAGTAGTGCATTCATGTGCATCCTGTCCCTTCTCGCTCAGATTCCGAGATGCACACCGCTAAAGATCCCAAAGACTGCACCATGGTTGCTCCATACAGTAATTCCAAAGGTGGGTCACTCTATGGTCATAGGCCAGCGGCTAGCGGCTGTGGCCGAGGCTAAGGGTAGATCACCTGAAGGGTACCCCGTATAGGGACACCTGTATGGGGCACCTCCTCCAACAAACGCCGTGCATTAAAAAAATGCACGCACGGGTTCTTGACTTCAAGAATGAAACTACATCAAAGATTGCAAATTAAAGGACCGGATAACCCCACATATGAGTCTTTACGAATCTAAAGTTTCTAAAACACAAAGCAGTCAGAGTCTCAATAGCTTCTACAACATGGCCTTGTCAGGAATTATATCAGAATTACACAACAGGGGTGGGAGAGAGGTGTGGGAGAGTAATGTGCACGGCGGATGTACGAGGTATTGTGCAGACATGTGTGTACAGCCACAACTAGCCGAAGTAAAACCCCATCGCTCTGCCGACGTAAAACCCTATAGCCAAGGTCTTTTTCATCGCGCAGACGAAAGCAGGTCGTGTTCGTGAACCTGGGCGTCGTCATGAGTATTAAATTACATGCAATCTGCGTTGTGCCTGCCACGAAATCGGAGTGCAGTCTGACGGAGTGCAATCTGCACATGGAGGTTCTGACGGCGTGCAATCTGCGGCCTGGTAGATCCGCCACACTCTCTGCAGCGAAGCTTGAGCACTCCGGGCGATTCAGTTCTGTTTTGAAACGTGATTCTAAACTGCAAAGTTTCTGAGACACTTCTGAAATCTAGCCACGTCACGCCGACCACGCCACAGCCCCTGCCACGAATTCTGCACATGGAGGTTCACAAAGTGCTGTGCCTGCCCCGAAATCTGCACATGGAGGTTCACAAAGTGCTACAGCCAGAGCCTCGAACGGAGCATGGAGGTTCACAAAGTGCTGCACCTGCCACGAATTCTGGTGACGTCTCGGTGTGTGTTGTCACAAAGTGCCGCGCCTGCCACGAATTCTGCACGTGGAGGTTCACAAAGTGCTGCGCCTGCCACGAATTCTGCACGTCAAGAAACAATGAATACTCTAATCACAATGGAGGGACGGACCGGCGACCACCGCCGACAACCGCAGACAACGCAACACCCACAGCCTCCAACGGAGGTTCACAAAGTACTGCGCCTGCCACGAATTCTGGTGACTTCTGGGTGTGTGTTGTCACAAAGTGCCGCGTGCCACGAATTCTGCACGTGGAGGTTCACAAAGTGCTGCGTCTGCCACGAATTCTGGTTTGTGTGATCTCTGTGTGTGTGATCTCTGTCTGTGTCGTCTCGGTGTGTGTTGTCTCTGTGTGTGGTGTCTCGGTGTGTGGTCTCTGTACGTGTTGTCTCGGTGTGGAGGGAGGATGATCTCTGTGTGTGTTGTCTCTGTGTGTGTGTTGTTGTCTCGGTGTGGAGGGATGCGGCGGGAAGCGGGCGGCAGGAGGCGGATGAGACATAGAAAAGAAGAACCCCACACTAATGTGGGGAAAAACATGCAAAACAAACACACATTTCCCAAGAAAAGGACCAAGCAAGGGACCAGAAACCGTTCAATAATGATTCCAAGTCTCTTGTCAAGGTCAAAAAGGTCAAAGGCATCTCTTAAATCCTCGAGGCCGGGGAGCCCTGCTGCCTGCACGAGGAAAGCAGGATGGAAGGGCTGGTGGTAGCGACCTTTTAGCCTGCAAGGGTCCCTTGATAGTCCCCCCTTGACATGTCCTGGAGTTCTTGAATGCCTTCAGAAAATGTCACCATTAACAAAATATTGCAATCTCCCTTATGTTTCTCTCATCTATCTCTCATGTATCAGGTGTGCACGGCATGTGATCGTGTGGTTGGAGAGTTTCTGGCATGATCCACCTTTTCCATTAAGAGCCTCTGCATTCGGAACGAGTGAAGTGACCAACAAAGGTGGGTTTTCACCAGGACATCTTTGGCCCGGAGCCGAGCGGAGTGAGTACCACGCCCGTTGAACAACCTGATGCCCGCCCGGTGCTCAGAGTCACTGTTCCACATTGACAGATGATGGCGCTGCTCGTGAATTCTGTGTATTTTTGGAGTCGTCGAATTGAGAGAGAGAGAGAGAGCGCAAAATGAGATCGAAATGACATGAACAAATGATCAGGAGATACTTCAGAAGTTGCCCTTTTTGATCCTAAATGACTGGATTGTGAGCACCTTAAGCCACAGCAACTTCCAATCACCACTCCTTTCAAAGTCCCCACCGCATTGCTGTTGCCTCCATTCGACCTCCTGCCCTTTCTAGAAAAGATCAAGGCCTTCCCCAATAAGGCACCCGTCAGGGCCAGCCTTGACCGAGTCCAGGTACAAGGAGATGAAGTCCCCCAGTGTGAGCTCAGACTGAGCCGCAAAGCAGCTCTGACAAACAGTCTCGCAGCCTGGGCGAGAGGGCAACAAGGCCACAATTCCGAAAGCTAAAGATCACAGTGAAAGAATCTCTTCAAGTTCCCAATGAAAGAAACAATCTTAGGCATTCTGAATTGTCCCACCATCCCACCTGTCCGTGGTGCACTGGTGCACCTTTTGAACTGGGTGCCCGTTTTTCTGGATGGGTTGCCTGAAACTTTCACACGACTGTTTCAGGGGATTTCCGCATCGTGTCAATTTCACATCATCCATTGCCTGTGCTGGTGCCTTGGGATCTCTGTGTGACGTCTTGGAATTCACCCAGTTCTGATGGCCTTCCCCCATGGCTGCGGTCCGCGCAAGAAGGCTTGAAGGACCCAAGAAGGATACACTCCCGACCAGCGGCCACTGGAAACCGATTAAACGCGGTCACCCACAGAAGGGTGTCGTTGATGGAGATCCCTTCACCTTCTTTAAAGAGGGCTTTGATATTCATGGACACCCCGCGTTTGGCACATGCCAAACCTAGCAACATGCGCCTGGACAGTCCACCAGCACGGTCCGCTCAAACTCATGCTGCGACCAACGGAGATGAGATACAAAAAGCATTAATATACCGAAGTTTCGACTCTCACCAATTGATAACAATACCAGGCTCAACCATCTACCAATACATCCAATACCAGGTCCAAACAGGTCAAACCAGCTGTTCCATGCACTCCGTTCGGCCCCGAGCCACGATCTGGCAGAATGCCGAAGAGAGATGCGATCACCTGACCAGTGCGACTAACGCGACGAAAAGAGACACAAACATCAACCAGCTGGGGGCCTCGCACCAGAGGCATCAGAATGTATACAGCGATAGGATCTTCACCAGCTTACATAATCGCCAAGCTTTATAGGTTTTTATAATTGCTTGAAGTGGAAACGATTG